AATTCAAAAATCACATCCAGGGAGAAACTGAAAGTTTCCAAACAAGTTTTAAAACTAACAGTTTAACCCAGATTAAAAATTACTTTCAACATCACATTTCCATAGCATTGTCCACATAATCATAAGATATATACCACATTTCATATAAAAGTAAATCATGCCAAATCGTATAATTCCATGCAAAATGGGGGTAGAATGCAAGTTTTAAAACATACTTTCAAAACTGACAGAATGCACCCCTTCTCTTTTTCTTTTTACAAGAAACCATCTACCAATCACGAACCTCAACCTCACCGTATACAATTCAACAAGTTCTCTACTCTCACAAATTTTATTCATATAGCGTGAATACATATAAATTCTATATAACCAACATTCATCAAACATTTAAAAAATAAATCTAATTAACATAAAACATGGATTTAAGCTTTTGTGAAGAAGATTGGTTAACCACTCACCAAATCAAGCTATATTTCATGGGGCATCAAGACAAATATATGTTGATCTAGTAATATTTTCAAGTCACTTCAGAATCAATAACTATTTAAAACACAATTTTCTTTCAAACCCATTTAAATCTGCCAACTGTATCCAGAATGGAGGTTACTGACTTGTAAAATTCTAACAATTCAGCCCTTAATCTAAACCTTGAAACTCTCCAGAATTAAACTAGACACATATAGGATTCACCAGAATTTAAAATCACTCAATTTGGATAAGTATAGTGCATTATTTCAGTTCGTGAAAATGCATGCTCTACAGAAAACATGAAATTCCAGAATTTCATAGCAGAATTCAAAATTCATTAAAAAATCCAATACTTCGAATTTGGGATGAAATCAATTTTCAACCAATCTCTAATAAGTCTAAAACAAAATATCTGAAAATTTAGCTTCATTTGCAAACCCGAAACATATTAAAATTTTCAGAAGTTCGGACTGTCAGAATTTCACAGCATAACTTTTTATAACCAAAAACTACTTTAATAACTCTTGGTTCTTTAGGATCAACATATATTTTCTACCCTATAAACCTATTGCATTAATCTCCAATTTCAGTCAACACACAATTCAGCCACCATATCCAACATACTGCTTCCATAATTTTCTTCTATCACAAACATTGTGAATATGCATAAAATGCACATATGCTTGTCAAAATTAATCAATATATGAAATCCATAATTTCCATACCCTTCATTCCAACCATTACTGCCACCAATTAATTTCCAGACAAACCAGCCCTACCAAAATTAGTTGGAATTCTCAATCATCACCAAACAAACAGGCGGAAACACAAATCTGCTTTCCATTCAACAACATCTGGTATAGGCATAATTATTATACATGCATGTCCACACTTACTTCCAATTTCATTTATATAAAATCATCACATGCATGCCAAAGATAGTTTACAGAGATGAATATAACCATATCAAAGCTAAATAAATTTGAAGGTAAGGCATTTATGCACAAACATGAAAATCATTTCACTAAAAACATGATTTTATGCAAAGTTCTACTATTCCACTTACAAACATCATGCTTGTAAGGATTTGCAAAAGCAAATGGACGGTAGAAAAAGGAATCAACATGCAAGGCATAAGCTTAAGTTTTTTAAGGAAAATGTTTAGATCCACTCACATCTAGCAACCGAAGCTCCCTGCACTCTCCTCCACTCTTCTCTCTCACTCTACCTTTTTCAGCCGCACCCATTCCCTCTCTTCTTCTCCGTTTCTTCTTTTCTTCATCTGGGCGAAAATCAGCCTCCCTTGTTTTTTAAAACTTTTCTTTTCTGCTCTGCTCCCGCTTCTTCCCCTGCTTTCGTCTCCTTCTTCATTTGGGCCAAATCAGCCCCTTTTCTTTCTTTTTATATCTTTAATCTTTCTAAATTTATGCTTCTGCCCCTAGTTATAGTAATCCTGCTAAACCCCTACCACATCAGCATTTCTTCGAATAAACCTCTAGGTTTTGCCCCTTGTTACATGCAAACCCAGCACTTCCTTATCTTGCAATTTCATTCCCAATAAAACTTTTAAAAACTAACAGAAATCCCCTTCCATAAAAAATAAAATCATACAGAATTTTATATGTATTAGGATTAAAAACGGGGTTTCACAATGTTGCTGTATCATTTTGACTGGGAAACTTCCTGATGAATGAATATGAAGATTTGGACATGACCGAGTCCTTTGTTGCCACTCAGAAGGAAAATGATCTGTGCTTGATTCCCATCCCTATCATCCATAGCCTAATGCTTAGGCTCTAAAGTAATCAATTCTTCTTTATTTATGTTTGCTGCCACCATTTACCAATAACCATATTAGTTAGTTTGGATGGTAATTTTAAATTATTACTTCTAATGATCGAAGAGTCATGCCTGTCAGAATATGGGCTGGTTTTATATTCATGAATTTTAATGAAATAATATTCTCTCCTTATCTGAGTTCTCTTTAACTTTAATGTATCAATCCATGTCATTTGTTTATTTTTTCATATATTGCTAATCTATTTTTTTATATATTAATTTTTCCTTTACTATACTTGCTCAGTAAGGTTTAAATTAGGAAAGGATCCTAAATTTGTAATTACTCTGTCTTCCTTGGACTTTGATAAGTGCTAGAAAATACCCTTTTACTTAGTGGTTTAATGGTATTATTTGTGGAAAATTAAGTTCAAGCTGTGTGATTTGGCTTAATTATTTCATAAATGTTTTTTATGGAATCACAAGTATGTTTTGTATATTTTTAGGTTATAAATGCTTAAAAATAATATTCAGATGAAGAATTATGTTGTTGATGGAATTTGTGGCAACTGGAAATAAGCGGTTTGAGATTCGAAGTTAAAACGAGGAAGTTATGACATTTTGAAGATTAATTACAAAATCTGGAAAAATTGTTTAAGTATTGAGCATGCCTCAGTATTTCGATGATATCTGAAGCTGTAAACCTCATTTGGTGATGATTCTTAAAGCATTGGAAAGCTTACTAAAAGATCTACAATTCGTATGTTGAAGACTTCATCAAATTCAGAAAACTTCAAACAAGAAAAAGAGCATGTTTGTGTGGTGTGGCACAAGTCTACCCATGCCGCCACACAACAACAAATGAAATAGAAGATTGTGCGCATGTTGTGGCACAAGTCAACCCATGCCACAGCACAATGGCAAATGAAATTGAAGATTGTGTGCATGCTGAGGCATGACGACGATTTCCTAAAAAATTTGATATGCAATTACGAATTTTTCTAGATTTAAGAGTTCTAACCTGAGTAGGATTGTTGTAAACACACTCCTAAAACCCTAGCTTTATAAATAGATGTATTTAGCTATTATTTAGAGGAGATTGAGAAGAGGATAGAGAGGAGATTAGTCGCTATTTGCAAATCAAAACAACAACTCTTGTGGTTTTGGTTCATCATCGAGGGAAGTTTTCTTTTATCTTTTTTTTGAACTTATGTTTACAATGGTTGTTTATTTTTATTTGATTATGAAATAAATAAAGTTTCTAGGGCTAAGATGTAGCCCAAGTTTATGAATATGTGTTGATTGATTATTGTTAATTTTTGTTAAGCATTCTTTTCTAAGTTTTATTATAGTTCTTAATGCTTTAATTCTTTTGGTACCGAGGGTTGATTGATCTAATGGACTAGGTTATCGAGATTGTATCTATTTGGTCTAATATAATAAAATCATTGATTGAGCGAATACTAAAGATAGGCTACCACGATCTATGAGGCTTTGGTAAATTTCATATATAGAGCGTGATGAGCTCTTAAGACTTAAATCAAATTTAGAGATATTTAAGGTTAGTAATAAAGGGTTAATCTGGTAATTGTTCAAGAGAAAGTTATTGGAATTCTATGAAGTTTGACCTATAAAAAATTGAAATAATTTTAGCAATAATTATCAATACATATGATTAAATTAGTGTGAAATATGTGTCATAAGTTTAGTCAAATTGTTTATAACCAACGTGTTCTTTGCAATCTTCTTTAGATTAGTTTTAGTTAATCCATTCCATAAAATTTCGATTAATCAAATAGCAATAAGATAGTTTGTTTTGGTAATTGGGACTAATAATTCTCTAGGGTTTGATATCCATTTATTCAAACTGTATTACTTGCACGATTTTATATGCTTGCAAAACCCTTGTCAAACTCCAAAAGTATATTTTAGTCTCAAGTTCAACTGATTATTCTCATGCTTTTCTTTAAAGTATTCAGACTTCTTAAAGAAATTGTTAATATTGTTGTGTTTGTTTTAGCATGTATTGGGACATCGCATATGAACTCAACAGGATAGTTTGGTATGATCGATATTTTTCATTTAATTAAGTACTATAACAAGATTATGGGGTTAAATATCTTGGAAGAATGGACCTGATTGTGCCTTCATTTTGTTGATGTATGGCTAAAAAGAAACTTTATTTTCTTTGAGGGCAATTTTGTAATTCTAATTTGGGGTATTATTGTATTCTTGTAATTAGTATATAAGTTTTACTTTCAAGTTATAATTGTGAGCAAAAATCCCCGATACTAAAGATCATTGTATAGTTATTGTTCTCTTTATCTAGTTAAAATCATGTCCATTTTTGGTGAACCACACAAATTGGTTATGTATTATGTTGTAATTTATTATTTGCTCGTTTGGTTTAATCTTTACAGCTTTTGTATCATTTGTATACGTTAAGTCCATTTAAACAAGCTCTTAAAGTTGCCACTAATGTTTGTCTACAAGGTCCAGTTCGAACGTGTCAGCTGTCAACACATTTAAAACATTCACCCTGATTTTTACTTTTTGTCTTTAATTAACCATCCATTATAATCTATCTGATAAATAATTGGAAGTTGCTGAAAATAACAAGAAAATAAATCAGCAGAATATCATCTGTGTCTTATTCTGTGTCTTTTAGTTTTGGGAATAACTAGGTGGAGATTTCAAAAGCTGATGCAATGCCGGAGCAGTTATTTATATAGATGGTTCTGGAAAATCCTAAATTCATAGTCCAATCCTCACTATACTTTCTCATGGAGCTCATATTCTCCAACTTCTCAATCCTTCTCACCTTTCTTCTCTTTATCCTCTTGGTCCTCAAAATAGGGAAGACATTCAAAAACACTAATGAAACTTCAAATCTACCTCCAGGCCCACCGAAACTGCCTCTGATTGGAAATTTGCACCAGCTTGTAGGCTCTCTACCACATCGCAGACTCAGAGATCTGGCCAAGAAATATGGACCCTTTATGCATCTACAGCTTGGGGAAATTTCTGCCGTTATTGTTTCATCGCCAAAGTTTGCGAAAGAAGTTATGAGAATTAATGATGTAAACTTTGCATCAAGGCCTCAGATTCTAGCAACAGAAATTATGTCTTATGAGTCTACTGATCTTGTCTTTGCACCATATGGTGATTACTGGAGACAGCTAAGGAAGATTTGTACATTGGAGCTTTTAAGCATGAAACGAGTCCAGTCTTTCCGATTTATAAGAGAGGAGGGGGTGTCTACTCTCGTTGATTGGATTGCTTCAAAAGCAGGATCACCGGTCAACCTTACCGAAAAAGTTCACTCACTAACATATGGTATCACTTCCAGGGCAGCCTTTGGCAACAAATGGAAAGATCAAGACTTGTTCATATCAATTATCAAAGAAGCTACAGTTGCTGCAGGAGGTTTTAATATTGCTGATCTGTTTCCGTCTATTAAATTTCTTGAATCTGTGAGTGGAATCAGGCCTCAACTAGAAAGGATGCATAAACAAACTGACAGGATAATTGAAAACATTATCAATGAACACAAGAAGGGTCAGGCTACATTAAAAATTGGTGAAGAAGATGAAGATCTGGTTGATGTTCTTTTGAAAGTTCAAGAGCATGGTGATCTTGAATTTCCCTTAACTTCTGAGAACATCAAAGCAGTAATCTTGGTAAGGTTTTCAATTCTCATATTTGAACTTAAGTTGGTGTTTATTTTTGTCTCTTAATTGCCGAGTAGAATATACAAGTAATATTTTTATAGCAAGTGGGTTGTGTGAAACTTAATTTCTGTCAAATGGTTTAACTCAGATTGGTGAATAAATTTCCTTTTCAGGATATTTTTAGTGCTGGTAGTGAGACATCAGCCACAACTGTAGATTGGGCAATGTCTGAAATGGTGAAAAATACAAAAATACTGGAGAAGGCACAAGCTGAGGTGAGGGAAGTCTTTGGAAGAAAAGGGAAGAAAGTCGATGAAGCAAGCATTGAAGAAATAAAATTCCTGAAGCTAGTTATAAAAGAGACTCTGAGGCTGCATCCTCCTGCTCCTTTGTTAATTCCAAGAGAATGTAGAGAAGCGTGTGTGATTAATGGATTTGACATACCCATCAAAACCAGACTCATGGTTAATGCGTGGGCGATTGGAAGAGATCCAGAATATTGGACTGAACCTGAGAGCTTTATTCCAGAGAGGTTTCTTGATTGTTCTATTGACTATAAGGGAAATAATTTCGAGTACATCCCATTTGGTTCTGGTAGGAGGGTGTGCCCAGGAATGTCATTCGGACTGGCCAACGTGGAGCTTCCACTTGCAACGTTGTTGTATCATTTTGATTGGAAACTCCCTAATGAAATGAAGAATGATGATTTGGACATGACCGAGTGTTTCGGTATGACAGTCAGAAGAAAAGATGATCTCTGCTTGATTCCTATACCTTATCATCGATAGCCATTTGCATAGGCTCAACTTGATTGTGCCTTGGAAGAAAAGAAAAGATTCTAGGGTTCAAGACCTTGGAAGAATGGACCTGATAGTGCCTTCATTTGGTTAATGTATGGCTCAAAAAAGAGACTTTATTTTCTTTGAGGGAAATTTTGTAATTCTAATTTGGGGTATTATTGTATTCTAGTAATTATTATGTAAGTTTTACTTTGAAGTTACAATTGTGAACACATTCATGAACACATGTGATTTGAGATTCGTGTCCTGTTTTTACCTTCTTTTTTTCTTTAATCAACCATCCATTGTAATCTTTGCACTTTTCTATATTATTTATTTTTAATTTCACTGACTCCAAAAGCCGTTTAATCGTTTATCCAATCTTTCTGATAAATAAGCAGAATATCATCTGTCTTATTCTGTCTTATAGTGTCGGGAATAACTAGGTGGAGATTCCGAAAGCTGATGCAATACAAGAGTAGTTAAAGTATAATTTTCTAGTTGAAAAGGAAATTATATATATAGATGCTTATATCTAATCCTTAGTTCATAGTCCAATCCTCACTGAACTGTTCTAATGGAGCTCATATGCTCCTACATCTCAATCCTTCTCACCTTTCTTCTCTTTCTCTTAATGGTGCTGAAAATGGGGAAGAGATTCAAAACCAATGATGAAACTTCAAATCTACCTCCAGGGCCATCGCAATTACCTCTGATTGGTAATTTGCCCCAGCTAGTTGGCTCTCTACCACATCACAGACTCAGAGACCTGGCCAAGAAATATGGACCCTTTATGCATCTACAGCTTGGAGAAATTTCTGCAGTTATTCTTTCATCGCCAGAGTTCGCGAAAGAAGTGATGAAAACTCATGATATTACATTTGCATCAAGGCCTTATAATCCAGCAACAAGTATCAACGAACGCATGAAGTCTGACAAGAGTAAAGGAGATAAACATCTGGTTGATGTTCTCTTCAAACTTTAAGAGCAAAACAATCTTCAATTTCCATTAACTAACGGAAACATCAAAGCGGTAATCATTGTAAGTACCTTCACCCCTTGGAGTTGAATGCAAAACTTAATCTCTGTTCTTGTTTTTTATTAGTGTTTTAGTGGTTAAACTCAGAATCATGCAACTCCTTTTTCCAGGAAATGTTTGCTGCTGGCATTGAGACATCTTCGACAGTATTGGAGTGGACAATTTCTGAATTGATAAAGAGTCCAAGAGTGATGGAAAGAGCACAAGCTAAAGTGAGGGAAGTCTTTAATAGAATGGAAAAGGTTGATGAAACAGGTATTTTTGAAATGAAGTTCTTGAAACTAGTGATAAAAGAGACTATGAGGTTGCATCCTGCTGTTCATTTGTTAATTCCAAGAGTATGTAGAGAGAAATGTGAGATTAATGGGTTCAATGTACCTGCCGATACCAAAGTCATGGTTAACGCATGGGCGATTGGAAGAGATCCAGAATATTGGAACGTACCTTAGATTTTTAATCCTGAGAGGTTCATTGATAGTTCTATTGACAATAAGGGTATCAATTTTGAGTGCCTCCCATTTGTTGCTGGAAGGAGAATGTGCCCTGGATCTTTATTTGGTCTTGCCAATGTGGAACTTCCACTAGCTATGTTGCTGTATCATTTTGACTTGAAACTTCCTGATGGAATGAAGAATGAAGATTTGGACATGACCGAGTCCTAGTCAAAAACAAACGAAAGAACTTGTAAAAGAAAGAAAAACCAGAGAGTAAAGCTGATTCAGTAGCTTAAAGTTTTCATTAATTAGAGTTTACAATTTCTTCTATTATATAAAGAAGAATGAAACTACACCGTATAACATCTGCGCCTAATTACTCAGCTGCGTCTAATTACACAAACAGCATAACATTTGTGTTTATTTACAAAACTGCCACTTTCAACATTTGGTCAACAGTCCTTTGGTTTGACACTCAGAAGGAAAAATGATCTGTACCTGATTCCCATTCCCTATCATCCATAGCCTAATTCTGAGGCTCTAAAGTAATCAATTTCTGTTTGTTTATGTTTTCTGCCACCATTTACCAATAACCATATTAGTTAGTTTGAGATGGATGTACTTTTCAAAATTATTACTTTCAATGATCGAAGAGTCATGCCAGTCAGAATATGGGCTGGTTTTATATTCATGAATTTTAATGAAATAATATTCTCTCCTTATCTGAGTTCTCTTTAACTTTAATGTATCAATCTAGTGTCATTTGTTTATTTTATTCATATATTGCTAAATCTATTTCTTTTATATATTATATTTATTCCTTTACTATACTTGCTCAGGTCAAGGTTTAAATTAGGAAAGGATCCTAAATTCATAATTACCTCTTCTTCCTTGGACTCTGATAAGTGCTTGAAAATACCCTTTTACTTAGTGGTTTATTGGTATTATTTATGAGAAATTAGGTTCAAATTGTGTGATTTGACTTAATTATTTCATAAATATCTTTTATGGGATGACAGGTATTTTTTATATGTTTTCAAATTATAAATGCTTAAAAATAATATTCGGATGAATAATTATGTTGGTGAGGGAATTTGTGGCAACTGGAAACAAGCGGTTCGAGATTCGAAGTTAAAACCAAGGAAGTTATGACATTTTGAAGATTAATTACAAAATCTGGAAAAATTGTTTAAGTATTGAGCATGCCTCAGGATTTCGATGATATCTGAAGTTGTAGACCTCATTTAGTGATGATTATTGAAGCATTGGAAAGTTGACTAAAAGATCTACAATTCGTATGTTGAAGACTTCATCAAATTAAGAAAGCTCCATACAAGAAAAAGAGCATATTTTTGTGTTGTGGCACAAGTCTACCCATGCCGCGACACAACGACAGATGAAATTAAAGATTGTGCACATGCCACAGCACAATGGCAGATGAAATTGAAGATTGTGTGCATGTCGCGGCATAACAACGATTTCCTAAAAAATTTGATATGTAATTACGAATTTTTCCAGATTCAAGAGTTTCAATCTGAATAGGATTGTTGTAAACACACTCCTAAAACCCTAGCATTATAAATAGATGTCTTCAACTATTATTTAGGAAGGAGATTGAGTAGAGGATAGAGAGGAGATTCCGCTATTTGCAAATCAAAACAACAACTCTTGGGGTTTTGGTTCATCATCTAGGGAAGTTTTCTTTTATCTTTTTCTTGAACATATGTTTACAATGGTTGTTTATTTTTATTTGATTATGAAATAAATAAAGTTTCTAGGGCTAAGATGTAGCCCAAGTTTATGAATATGTGTTTATTGATTATTGTTAAGTGTTCTACATAAACTCTGGTGCAATATGTTGGCTGTCAAAGAAGCATGAAACTATGGCTCAGTCCACGGCAGAAGTAGAGTATATATCTGTTGCAGCAACCGTGAACCAAGCAATTTGGCTTAGAAACATTATGGCAGACCTGAAGCAAAACCAGAAAAGTTCAACTCCAATACTGTGTGACAACCGGTCTGCAGTTGCCATGGCCAAAAATCCAGTGCTTCACAGCAAGACCAAGCATATCAAGATAAAATTTCATGCAGTGAGGGAAGCTGCAGGGGTGAAGAACAAACTGTTGACATTATGACCAAAGCATTGTCCAAAGCCAAGTTTGAACATCTTAGGCTCAAACTTGGTGTTTCCAGCAAATGTATCAAGGAAGAGTGTTGATGAAGTGATACCTTGCTGGAAATGCATTATGTTCCAGTTTGCAATTTAAATATTTTGATGCCAATGGAATCAGCTGCTGCAGTGGGTGTGTGTGAGCTGCAGTTTGGTGCAACTTTTGAATCTTGGTTTACGTGTGATTAAGACTTGTAATTGATGTATTTTGAGTACGCTTTAGTCAGTTATTAGAGTTCAAATTTAAATTTGTAATTTGTCTTTACTGTAGTTGTTGTAACAGTGAGAGTTTAGGTTGTACTGATGTATATATTTTCAGTCCTCTATAATGAAATGATATTCCTCTTCTNGTCAGAATATGGGCTGGTTTTATATTCATGAATTTTAATGAAATAATATTCTCTCCTTATCTGAGTTCTCTTTAACTTTAATGTATCAATCTAGTGTCATTTGTTTATTTTATTCATATATTGCTAAATCTATTTCTTTTATATATTATATTTATTCCTTTACTATACTTGCTCAGGTCAAGGTTTAAATTAGGAAAGGATCCTAAATTCATAATTACCTCTTCTTCCTTGGACTCTGATAAGTGCTTGAAAATACCCTTTTACTTAGTGGTTTATTGGTATTATTTATGAGAAATTAGGTTCAAATTGTGTGATTTGACTTAATTATTTCATAAATATCTTTTATGGGATGACAGGTATTTTTTATATGTTTTCAAATTATAAATGCTTAAAAATAATATTCGGATGAATAATTATGTTGGTGAGGGAATTTGTGGCAACTGGAAACAAGCGGTTCGAGATTCGAAGTTAAAACCAAGGAAGTTATGACATTTTGAAGATTAATTACAAAATCTGGAAAAATTGTTTAAGTATTGAGCATGCCTCAGGATTTCGATGATATCTGAAGTTGTAGACCTCATTTAGTGATGATTATTGAAGCATTGGAAAGTTGACTAAAAGATCTACAATTCGTATGTTGAAGACTTCATCAAATTAAGAAAGCTCCATACAAGAAAAAGAGCATATTTTTGTGTTGTGGCACAAGTCTACCCATGCCGCGACACAACGACAGATGAAATTAAAGATTGTGCACATGCCACAGCACAATGGCAGATGAAATTGAAGATTGTGTGCATGTCGCGGCATAACAACGATTTCCTAAAAAATTTGATATGTAATTACGAATTTTTCCAGATTCAAGAGTTTCAATCTGAATAGGATTGTTGTAAACACACTCCTAAAACCCTAGCATTATAAATAGATGTCTTCAACTATTATTTAGGAAGGAGATTGAGTAGAGGATAGAGAGGAGATTCCGCTATTTGCAAATCAAAACAACAACTCTTGGGGTTTTGGTTCATCATCTAGGGAAGTTTTCTTTTATCTTTTTCTTGAACATATGTTTACAATGGTTGTTTATTTTTATTTGATTATGAAATAAATAAAGTTTCTAGGGCTAAGATGTAGCCCAAGTTTATGAATATGTGTTTATTGATTATTGTTAAGTGTTCTACATAAACTCTGGTGCAATATGTTGGCTGTCAAAGAAGCATGAAACTATGGCTCAGTCCACGGCAGAAGTAGAGTATATATCTGTTGCAGCAACCGTGAACCAAGCAATTTGGCTTAGAAAAATTATGGCAGACCTGAAGCAAAACCAGAAAAGTTCAACTCCAATACTGTGTGACAACCGGTCTGCAGTTGCCATGGCCAAAAATCCAGTGCTTCACAGCAAGACCAAGCATATCAAGATAAAATTTCATGCAGTGAGGGAAGCTGCAGGGGTGAAGAACAAACTGTTGACATTATGACCAAAGCATTGTCCAAAGCCAAGTTTGAACATCTTAGGCTCAAACTTGGTGTTTCCAGCAAATGTATCAAGGAAGAGTGTTGATGAAGTGATACCTTGCTGGAAATGCATTATGTTCCAGTTTGCAATTTAAATATTTTGATGCCAATGGAATCAGCTGCTGCAGTGGGTGTGTGTGAGCTGCAGTTTGGTGCAACTTTTGAATCTTGGTTTACGTGTGATTAAGACTTGTAATTGATGTATTTTGAGTACGCTTTAGTCAGTTATTAGAGTTCAAATTTAAATTTGTAATTTGTCTTTACTGTAGTTGTTGTAACAGTGAGAGTTTAGGTTGTACTGATGTATATATTTTCAGTCCTCTATAATGAAATGATATTCCTCTTCTCTTCCAGATTTTTTCTTTCTTTTCTTTGTATTTCTTCGGCCATAACACCAACAGGATGCATAAATATACTGACAGGATAATTGAAAACATTATCAATGAAACAAGAAGGGTCAGACAACATTAAAAATTGGTGAAGAATATGAAGATCTGGTTGATGTTCTTGTAAAAGTGTGTGATATTTTGTTGGAAACTATTTTGCAATTCAAGTTTGAATGTTTGGTGCCATGTTTGAGTTGGTTTAGGCTATCTGTCAAATGTTGGTTTTTTTGTTGATTTTTTGAATGTAATATGTGATGGTTTAGGTGATGATAGCCGGTGATTAAGGCCAACATTTGTCATTGTAAATGTGTATTAGTTACAGTTGTTTAGATTGCAGTGTATTTGAAAAAAGTTCTCACCGTAGAGTAGTTGTAACAGTAATGAAAACTTGTATTTATATTCCCCTATTAATGAACGAAAACAGAGCAGACTTGAAACTTAATTTTTCTCTCTTTTGCAACTCTCTCTTTCTTGCATGTTAACCTTCTTTCTCTTAGATAATCAGACTAAAAAACCTACAATTGGTATTAGAGCTGATCTTGATCTTTCAGGACCCAAAAAACCACCATAAATGAAGCTTCCTCATGGCATCAAACCCAACCCAACTTTCTTCTCCTATCTTCAATGGTGATCAGTATCATATTTGGGCTGTCAAGATGAAAACCTACTTGAAAGTCCATGGTTTGTGGTAATATGTGGAGGAGGAGAAGCAAGTTCTCCAACTTAGACCAAGCCAACCAAATGAGAATCCATGAAGAAGAGGCAGCCAAAGCTCCAAGAGCTTTGTCTTGTATACACTCAGCTGTCACTGACCAAGTCTTCTCTAGAATCATGGCGTGTGAGACCCCTAAACAAGCTTGGGACATCCTCAAGGAAGAGTTTGGAGGAAGTAGCCAGACTCATAACATGCAAGTCTTAAATTTAGGGAGAGAATTTGAGGTACTTAAGATTCAGGAGGCTGAATCTGTCAAGGAATGTGTGGAAAGACTTATGACTGTGGTGAACAAAATTAAGTTGCTTAGGGAAGAGTTGACTAACAAGAGGATAGTCAAGAAGGTCTTGGTCGATTTGCCTGAAAGGTTTGAAGCAAAAATTTCATTCTTAGAAGACTTTAAAGACCTGTCCTAGATCAACTTGGCTGAATTGGTTCACTCACTTCAAGCCCAGGAGCAGAGAAGGCTACTAAGGCAAGAAGACTCAAATGAGGCAGCCATGGTTGCAAGTCAGAAAGAAAGAGCGTACCAAAGGGAAGACAAGAAATATGTTGGTGAGAAGAAGGGAAAAGAGAAGAGTAATAATCATGGAGGAAAACGTGGTGGAGTGAAGTCATTTCCTCCATGTTTGCACTACAAAAATAGGAACCATCCAAAAAATAGGTGCTGGTTTAGACCTGGCATACAATGCAGGTCATGTAAACAATTCGGTCACATAGAAAAAGTGTGTAAAAACAGAGGAAATCAGCAGGAGTAGTAGGCTTAGGTGGTGGAGGTTCAACAGCCAAGTTCAGAAGCTGATCAGCTTTTTATGGCCTCATGTTAGAACCAGAAGATTTGTGGTGATATATGGCTGATTGACAGTGGTTGTACAAACCACATGACCCCAAATCTGGCAAGCTTTGTGAGCATTGACAAGTCCTATCAATCTAGAGTCAAGATTGGCAATTGAGGATTTGTGGAAGTCAAGGGAAGAGATGAGGTTGTTGTCTCAACTCCATCAGGTACAAAATACGTTTCAAATGTCCTTTATGTGCCTGAAATTAATCAAAGTGGGCCAAATGTTAGAAAAGAACTACTCTTTGCATTTTTAGAACATGTCATGCGTTGTAGTTGATAACCTTGGCAATGAATTGATGAAAGTGAGAATGTTAGGAAATTTTTTTCCAATTGAATGGAAAAAATCAGTTTCACAAGCCTTGTCTGCCAAACTTGATGAAACTAAAATTTGGCACAAGAGATTTGGCCATTTTCATTACACATGTCTTAAGGAGATAAAGATGAGAGACCTTGTTCAAAACATGCCTGAAATTGAGGAGAAAGAAAGGGTGTGCCAAATCTGTCAAATGGGTAAACTTAGTAGACAACCTTTTCCAGCAAACCAAGCCTAAAAAGCTGCTAAAAAACTTCAGCTCATACACATAGATGTGTGTGGTCCCATGCAAGTGTCTTCCTTGAATGGCAGTAAGTATTTCCTTCCATTTATAGATGACTTTTCTAGGTTGTGTTGGGTGTATTTCTTGAAGCAAAAGGGAGAAGTGGTAGCAATGTTTAAGAGGTTTAAGCAAATGATGGAGAATCAAACTGGTTTAAGCTTCAAAACTGTCCAAAGTGATAATGATGCAGAATACACCTCAAACTAGTTTGAAGAATTATGTGTGGGAGTTGGAATAAAGCATCAACTGAGTAGTCCTTACACATCACAGAAAAATGGTGTGAGTGAAAGGAAAAACAATACCATAATAGAGATGGTAACGTGTATGCTGTTTGAGAAACAGCTTCCTAAATTTTTCTGGGTAGAAGCTATTAATATAGCAGTATACTTGCTGAATAGGTTGCCAATTAAAGCCTTCAACAACAAAACTCCATTTGAGGCTTGGCATGGAGTAAAGCCAAGCTTTAACAACCTTAAAGTGTTTGGAAGTATTTATTCTGCACACATACTCGTCGGCAAGAGAAGTAAACTGGATGAGAGGGCTGAAACTGGAATATTTGTTAGGTACAACAGCTTGTCAAAAGCATATAGGATATAATCCTAAAACAAAGAATTTTCTAGTCAACCAAGATGTGAAGGCAGATGAAGGAGCTCTATGGAATTGGGAAAGAAATGAAGTTAAGAAGAGTAAGATGTTGGAGCAAGGAGGAGATTTGATAGACAACCAGGATGCTTCAGATTTCAGTTTAGATTCTGAAGCAGATTTTCCAGTCAGGGGAACAACGACTTTGGCAGAGATTTATGAGAAATGTAACATGGCTTTGATAGAACCAATGTGGTACTCTAAAGCAGCCAGAGTAAAAGAGTGAAAAACAACAATGGAAGAGGAACTTGGGATGATTGAGAAAAATGCAACCTGGAACTGGTGGACAGACCTACTAGAAGGAAAGTTATTCAGATGAAGTGGATTTATAAGAAGAAATTGAATACAAATGGTTCAGTTAACAGGTATAAAGTAAGGCTTGTAGTAAAGGGTTATGCACAGCGGTTTGGGGTGGACTTTTCTGACACTTTCACACCAATTGCAAGGCATGACACAATCAGACTTCTACTTGCAATTACAGCCCAAATCAAGTGGAAAATTTTCCAACTTTATATGAAGTCTTGTTTCCTAAATGGGTGGCTTGATGAAGAAATCTTTGTAGAGCAACCTGAAGGGTATGAAGTTGAAAGATAAGAGGATAAGGTGTATCTTCTTAGGAAGGCATTGTATGGCCTAAAACAGGCCCCTAGGGTCTGGTATAGGAGGATCAATGAATACCTAGTCAGTTTGGGGTTTGCAAGGAGTCCAAATAAGCATACCGTATATGTTAGAGAGATTGGTGATGAAAGAACGTTTGTATCCTTGTATGTTGATGACCTCCTGTTGACAAGAAGCAATTCCACTTGGCTGAATGACTTTAAGAATGAGTTGCACAATGAATTTGAGATGACTGACTTAGGTGAAATGGGTTTCTTTTTGGGAATGGAAGTGTATCAATCTCCTAATGGTAATATGCTAATGAACTTCTTAGGAAATTTGGAATGGAGAATTGCAAGTTTGTCAACACACCATTGGTGCAAAATGTGAAGCTTTGTAAAGATGATGGAGCTGCTAAGGTTGATGAAACTAAGTACAGAAGCATTGTTGGGTGTTTATTGTACTTGGCAGCAACAAGGCCTAACATCATGTATACAGCAAGCTTACTCTCCAGATTTATGAATGGACCAAGTGAACTGCATTGCAAGCGAAAAAAAAAAAAAGAGTTCTCAAGTATGTCAGAGGTTGTCCAAACCTAGGAATTTTGTTCAAGAAAGCTGAAAATCTCAACTTGTATGGTTTCACCGACAGTGACTGGGGTGTCTCTTTGGATGATATGAAGAGTACCTTTGGATATGTTTTTTTCTTAAAGTCAGGTGTCATAAGCTGGATCTCAAAAAAGCAAGAAGTCGTAGCACAATCAATAGCAGAAGTAGAATATGTTGCTGTTATCAACCAATTGGTTTGGCTGAGAAGAATTCTGAAGGATTTAAGGCTTAAAACAGATTCAGGCTAATGTGTTGTATTGCGACAACCAATCAGCAATTGCAATGTCCAAAAATCCAGTCCTTCATGGTCGTACAAAGCACATCAAAATCAAATACCATGTAGTGAGGGAAGCTGATTCATTGCAAGGGAGAAGAGCAAGTGGTTGATATAATGACTAAGTCTTTAGGCAAATCCAAGTTTGAAGAATTAAGACTCAAACTTGAAGTTTCCAGCAAGAATATCAAGGAGGAGTGTAAAAGTGTGTGATATTTTGCTAGAAACTATTTTGCAATTCAAGTTTGAATGTTTGGCGCCATGTTTGAGTTGGCTGTAGGCTGTCTGTAAAATGTTGGTTTTTTGGTTGATTTTTTGAATGTAATATGTGATGGTTTAGGTGATGACAGCCAGTGATTAAGGCCAACATTTGTCATTGTAAATGTGTATTAGTAGAGTTGTTTAGATTGCAGTGTATTTGAAAAAAGTTCTCATTGTAGAGTAGTTGTAACAATGATGAAAACATGTATTTATGTTCCCCTGTTAATGAGCGAAAACATAGTAGACTTGAAACTGAATTTTTCTCTCTTTTGTAACTCTCTCTTTCATGCATGTTAACCTTCTTTCTCTTAGCATAATCAGACTCAAAAACCTATAGTTCTTTTGAAAGTTCAAGAGCATGGTGATCTTGAATTTCCCTTAACTACTGAGAACATCAAAGCAGTAATCTTGGTAAGTTTTTTCAATTCTCATATTTGAACTTAAGTTGGTGTTTATTTATGTTTCCTAATTTCCAAGTGGAATATACAAGTAATATTAATATAGCAAGTGGGTTGTGTGAAACTTAATTTCTGTCAAATGGTTTAGCTCAGATTGGTAAATAAATTTTCTTTTCAAGATATTTTTAGTGCTAGTATTGAGACATTAGCCACAACTGTAGATTAGGCAATGTCTAAAATGGTGAAAAATATAAACATACTGGAGAAGGCACAAGCTGAGGTGAGGGAAGTCTTTAGAAGAAAAGGGAAGAAAATCGATGAAGGAAGCATTGAAGAAATCAAATTCTTGAAGCTAATTATAAAAGAGACTATGAGTCTGCATCCTCCTATTCCCTTGTTAATTCCAAGAGAATGTAGAGAAGCATGTGTGATTAATGGATTTGATATACCCATCAAAACCAGACTCATGGTTAATGCGTGGACGATTGGAAGAGATCCAAAGTATTGGACTGAACCTGAGAGGTTCATTCTAGAGATCTGGCTAAGAAATATGGACCCTTTATGCATCTCCAGCTTGGAGAAATTTCTGCAATTATTGCTTCAGTGCCAGAGTTCGCGAAAGAAGTGATGAAAACTCATGATACTACATTTGCATCAAGGCCTTATAATCCAACAACAAGTATCAATGAACGCAAGAAGTCTGACAAGAGTAATGGAGATAAACATCTGGTTAATGTTCTCTTCAAACTTCAAGAGCAAATCAATCTTCAATTTCCATTAACTAACAAAAACATCAAAGTGGTAATAATTGTAAGTACCTTCACCCCTTGGAGTTGAATGCAAAACTTAATCTCTGTTCTTGTTTTTAATTAGTGTTTTAGTGGTTAACTCATAATAATGTAACTTCTTTTTCCAGGACATGTTTAGTGCTGGCATCGAGACATCTTTGACAGTATTGGAGGGGACAATTTCTAAATTGATAAAGAATCCAACAGTGATGGAAAAAGCACAAGCTGAAGTGAGGGAAGTCTTTAATAGAATGGAAAAGGTTGATGAAACGGGTATTATTGAAATGAAGTTCTTGAAACTAGTGATAAAAAAGACTATGAGGTTGCATCCTGCTGTTCATTTGTTAATTCCAAGAGTATGTAGAGAGAAATGTGAGATTAGTGGGTTCAATGTACTTACCGATACCAACATCATGGTTAACGCATGGGCGATTGGAAGAGATCCAGAATATTGGAATGTACCTGAGACTTTTAATCCTGAGAGGTTCATTGATAGTTCTATTCACTACAAGGGTACCAATTTTGAGTACATCCCATTTGGTGCTTGAAGGAAAATGTGCCCTAGACCTTTATTTCGTCTTGCCAATGTGGGGCCTCCACTAACAATGTTGCTGTATCATTTTGACTGCAAACTTCTTGATGGAATGAAGAATGAAGATTTGGACATGACTGAGTCCTTTGGTGAGACCCTTAGAAGGGAAAATGCTCTTTCCCTAATTTCCATTCCTTAACATCCATAGCCTAATGCTTAGGCTCTAAAGTAACTAATTTCTGTTTGTTTATGTTTTATGCCACCATTTACCCGTAACTACATTAGTTTGTTTGAGATTGCTGTAATTTTCAAGATTATAACTTTTTAGGGCCAGAAAATGTCCTCAGTCTCAATAAGCCGAAAGATGCAGACACCTTCAGCAAAGTTTGGAGTCATGGCCCAACTCCAATTGGGCCCATGATAGAGTGTGGATATTGGGCTCGCTCATTATACCTACCATGTTGCTCATTGCTTGAGCCTAATCAGTAAAGGTCCCGATTCATTTAGACCTCACCATCAGCTTGTATGGGTTCAGGCCTATTGATTCAAGATCACCTACTGGACCTAGGGTTTTCTTGGACCCTAAGGTTGCCTAGTTATCTCGACACTATCCGGATCCTACCGCAGAGATCCATTACTATCATAACTCCTACAAGATCTGTATCTTAAACTGACTGGGACTCTCTCTCCCACTAAGGTAAGGGAGTCAAAGCCTTTCCTATTCACTAAACCTCAACTTCCAAGGACTCACAATCCTACTAGGACTCGAAGATCCTACAGCTGCTATTTAAACAAGAGGCCAGTCCTCTCTTATTGAGGGAACACTACGCCTTTTAACCCCATAGTTCACAATATTGAGAGCCTTACATCGCTACCGTAGTCTTACTCTCTGACTCAATTTCTGGTAACTTTCTCTTTCCCTAACCCTTTTCTAAATTAGCCTTATTCAGCATTGCTAACTTAAACGTCAAAGTGCCGATGGCAAACACCACCCCGGTACTTTTCGTTCGCTTCACGCTTGTTTTCTTGTGTGTACAGGTGCAACGGATTGCTGGTGGCCTCAACCTCATAGGATTATACCCCCTATTCTACAATCATAGATTTTACCATCTACAGTTTGGAGCTTACTGTGGGGCCTCTGGCAATCATTCATCTTTCAAACCCTGCTTTGCAAGGATACTCCTACGGTTGAAAATTCAAACAGCACCAATCCTGGTCTCGAGGCCAGGCTCGAAGCTCTAACTATCTTAAGCAACAACATTCAAACAAAGTGGCAATATTAGAAGCCGAGAACGCCACCATCCGGACCGAAAATGCCTCTATCCGGGTCAAAAACTCGTCTTTGCAAGAAAAGGTGAGTCAATTTTATGACCTTGAGCTTCAGCCTTGTCAGGTACAACCTAATCGTTTCCGCACGCCAGTTCCATTTATGCAACCTCTTCGGACTCCAAATCATAGATTGACCACTACGGATACTCGGTCATGTTAACTCCACTCAACACTAGTGAATGGCTTAGCCCAAAATCCAACTGAGTTAGGATAGCAAACAGGGCCGCTTTTGGCCAACCCATTCCAGGCACAAGATCAAGGCATCCAAGCAACACAAAGCCTACCGCACAAGAGTCACCCATCCTTACCATCCCGCCTCATCTCCAACCAAGCACTCCTACCAAAAATCCACTCGCCTCGATTCACCCTCGTGGGTCGAATGGACTAACTCACCTTTAATCCCACACGCTCGAGTCCATCCATCCCCACGAACTGAGTGACTCCCAAATAACCCTACTCACTATCCATGCTGGCCGAAACACCTGATCAGTCATAGTGGGAGCCATCCAACCTAGAGGAATGAATGGAGATCCAAATTACCAAGTGGCACGCGATGGAACAATTCACCAATCTGCTTTACATGACTTGACTCAACCAAACATGCCGACTACGAGTCATATGATAAACCAAGCCAACCTGATGGCCTTCGCCTCGCCCATGGAGCATATATTGGCCAAAAGATTGGTGGATATAGAGGCAATGATGAGGCGTATACCTGGAGTGCCGATCCCAACCAAGAAGGACCAAGCCCACAACTATGCCGATTCACTCTTTATATATGTAATTGCTCTAGCCGAGATGCCACACAAGTTCACCATCCCTAGCATGAAGCTTTACGATGGCACAACTGACCCAAATAACCATATAGCTTCATACAAGCAGCAGAGGTTCACCACATCAATACCCTGAAAAGCTTTAGCTCCAACATCTCTGGGCCAACCCTTCAATGGTACACAAACCTTCCAAACAACTCAAACAGCTTATTCGCCTTGCTCATCGACACTTTTGTTGAGAAATTTGCTAGTAGCAAGAAACTCAAGAAGTTGTCAGCCGACCTGTATAGAGTCTACTACGTCAGCAGATTCAATAAAGAAAAAATCTCCATCGCATCCTATAATCCAGAGACAGTGGTAGATGCTTTCAGAAAGGGTCTCCTCCCAAATAAAGAACTATACAAAGACCTGACAAAACTTGGCCGCACCTCAATGGAAGACGCCCTAGCCAAAGCAGCAATCCAAATCAGATAGGAGGAAGACAAGGCGAACCGAATGAGGCATGCTAGATATGATGACTGTCTCCAAAGGCAGAGTGAAAGAAGGCCAGAGTCTAGATCATATGAGCCCCGTTATAAACCCTTGTCCCGCAATTCAAGCAGAATCAAAGAGCCAATTGATCGCTAGCCAACTAGAGTACAACCTTAAGTTGATCTAGCTCAGGCCGTGGCAATCATGAAAGGGATGGGGCACACCGTGAAGTGGCCGGCCAGGCTCAATCTTGACGCAAAGAGGGACACAACCAAGTAGTGCGAATTTCACGGCGACCATAGTCATAACACCGTCGATTGCATCGCAATAAGATTGGAAGTAGCAGTACTATTGAAAAGGGGACATCTATGGGACTTGTTGACAGATAAAGGGAAGAATATAGTCAACTAGAGAAGCTCGAAGGAAACATCTCCCCTTCCCTAGGAACCGACATCGAATGGGTTTTGCTCCATTATCTTCGAGGGTTGGAAATCAATAGGGTGAGTTATTCCTTAGCCAAGTGGCACGCTCAAGCTAGCCATCTCCATCCACCCATCTCCTTGGGCAAATACCAACCAGATCATTCAGTTTGCAGATGACAAACCAGCCACCTTAGTCGCCCCTCATCACGATGCTTTAGTCGTCTCCCTTCAAATTGCCAACATCCTAGTCAATAGAATATTCGTAGACGGGGATCCTCAGTAAACATCCTCTTCCTTAAAGCAATGAAAACCATGGGACCGAATGAGTCAAACATCAACAAACGCCCAACCATCCTAGTCGGGTTTAGTTCTGATCAGAAGTACACCATTGGAGAAATCGCCTTGCTTGTCTATGCCAGCGAAATCAACAAGCAAACTATCTTCCTGGTGCTTGATTGCCCCTCACCCTACAATGTCATCTTGGGTCGACCTTGGATCCATGGCATGTGAGCTGTCACATTCGCCTTCTATCAAACTATCAGGTTTCTAACAAAATGGGGAGTAAGAGAGATCAAAGCCGATCCTAAAGCCTCGAGAGACTGCTACAAAAACACCTTCAAAGGTAAGAGTCATGCTTCATAGCAACTACAGAACCATCCAACCCTTCTAACTAAGCCAGATCAACCATCCATGGAAGAGTTGGATGAAGTGCAGATACACTCGGACCATCACGACTGAAAAACCTAGATAGGCTCTCGCCTCAAGCCCGAGATAAGGGAGCGACCTATAGACTTCCTCAAGTAAAATTAGGATAGCTTTGCCTGGTCTCACACATACATGACAGGCATCAACTTTGAGGCGACCACCACCACCTTCATGTGGATCCAGATCACCCTCTAGTGAAGCAGAAACAAAGGAAATTCGCTCCAGAATGCAACCAAGTAATTAATGAGGAAGTTCACAAGCTGTTGAGTAACAGATTGATCAGAGAAGTCCATTATCCCGACTGGCTAGCAAACGTGGTAGTCCTGAAGAAAAAAAAGGGAAAATTAAGGGTCTACATAGACTTCACAGATTTGAATAAGGCATGTCCCAAGAATTCCTTCCCACATTCCCACATTGATATGATGGTCGACGTGACCGCCGGCCATGAACTCCTAAGTTTTATGGATGCCTTTTCGGTGTACAACCAGATTTTGATGCACCCGAACAATCGGGAAAAAACAACTTTCATCATAGAGAGGGGAGCCTATTGCTACAAAGTAATGCCTTTTGGACTTAAGAACGCAGGGGCCATCTACAAGCAGCTGGTCAAGAAAATGTTTGCTGAACACCTTGGAGACACCATGGAAGTATATATCGACGACATACTCGTCAAGTCTCTCATGGCTAAGCAACACCTTGACCACCTTAGCCAAGCCTTCGCTGTTCTCAGGAAATACAACATGAAGCTCAACCCAGCCAAGTGTTCGTTCGAGGTCTCGTCAAGTAAATTCTTGGGATACATCGTGAATCAGTGTGAGACAGAAGCCAATCTTGACTAGATCCAGGCGGTCCTGAACATACCATCACCGACTTGCATCAAAGACGTTCAATGCCTTGCAGGATGAGTGGCTGCCTTAAGCCATTCCATATCCAAATCTGTTGACAAGTGCCACCTCTTCTTCGCCGCACTTAGGAAATCTACGAAGTTTGAGTGGACCCCCACCCGCGAAGAAGCCCTACAATAGCTGAAGAGGTTAATGACCTCTCCCCCACTTCTTTCCAAGCCTTTGTTTGGGGAAAAGCTCTACACCTATCTGGCAGTCTCAGAAACAGCCATCTCAGTAGTGTTAGTCCTAGAAGAAAATGCTAAGCAACTACCAGTTTACTATATAAGTAAATCACTCCTTGATACCAAGACACGATACAGCTAGCTGGAGAAATTATCATTCACCATCATCCATGCATCCAGGAAGCTTATACCATATTTTTAGTGCCACTCTATAGTCGTCCTCACTTCCTTCCCACTCAACAGAATA